AAGTAAGATTTTTCTATAGAAAACCACATATATTTTATTTTAGGTGTGCAACACAATTAATTCCCCCGAATGGAACATACAGTACTAATATAAACAAAATATTATGGGCAATGTAGAAGTGGAATACGGATATGCAATTTAAAGTTTACTAGATACTGACAAATCCATCTTCATGTGACCATATCAACTAACTCCCCCACCATCTCTCCTTGTCCTTATTATAACGTGTCACCTAGGGGCTTACTGGTAAGGAATTACTCTGTCATGTACAGAGTTCAAACTCATCAGATGCTTCTCAGGAGAAAGATGGACAGTTTCCTCCCATGTGATTTACTGCCTCTGAAAATCCACTGGAGTGTTATCTATAAATCACTAATGATTGGACGGAACTCATCAACAGCCATATTAAAAAAATAGTCATACTATGTATTTCATCCATTAATAGGCTAAAAAAAAGGAACCATGATTGGGCTTAACTAAATAGCTGCTAACCAAAAGGTTGGCAGTTCTAATCCAGCCATCACTCTTCTCATCCTGTAAAGATTTACAGCCTCAGAGAGGCATAGGATTGCTTTGAATTGAACTGACTTAATGGCATTGAATTTGTTTGTTTGGATTTGTTTGTTTGATTAATAGTTAAAAGTTCTTTCTTGTTTAAGTTGCTTTTCCTTACTTGTTAATATGACTGACCATCTTCTCATGGTAATCACCTGTTGGAATATGCTTTACTTTTTTCCCACTCTGGAGTCATTATAATGTTTCTACCCTTTCCCTAAGATCTAGATTTTTGTTAACTCCCTCCTGTTTGCCTGGTTCCTTCTTTGTAGCCTTGGTGTGGCATGCTGTACTTTGACAGGATGGATTATGACAAAGCTTTCCTAGTGGGTCTTATAAGGGTCTTTTGCTCATGATTATAGTAAGCCTGCCACCTCTTGTACCAGATGTCAAAAAGAGGTGGCTGAGCCTGTTTGTTTGCCTCAGAGTGCTTTGGATATAAGCAGTCAGGTATTATGCTTGCTTGCAATACAATAAGCAGCTTAGTTCCCATTGTTTTATAGCTGGCCTACCACCCCTGTAGGCTTTTGGGATTTAATGCAAATCAGTTAGTGTTAGTGGAAATCCTCACTGTCTCAGGATCTCTGAAGTGATCTGTATTCATTTCATTTTTATCATCAACTGTGGGATCCTGAACTAGTCATTTCAACTTTCAGCCAGTGTCTATTAGTGTAAAATGAAAAGGGAAGTTATCTTCCCTGATACTCTCACAGACTGATTTTGGAAATTATATAAAAATATGTGTAAATGTGTTTTGTGAGTTTTCTGTGAAATGAGAGCAGCCATGGTTTTTCTTGCCCATCCCTGCCAATAGTATCAAGGATATTTCTACTTCCTCCAATCCAACCCTTGCTTTGCCCATGGTCCATTGCGGCAACAGAAGTTAATATACTCAAGGTTGATGTGGGTCTACCAGGAATCTAGCTTTGCTGCAGATCCTCAGGTTTTTCTCAGAGCTGTCTGGTGAACATCTGAAGTAGAGCCACAGGTGTGAGATACAAAGGTGCTCTATCCATAGGTTTCCTGAAATAATGCCCATGCTTCTGAATACATGATTAGATGAGGACCCTAAATCAGAGAACAACCTTAGCTGAAACAAATGCATAATTGAAAATGGATTCAGAAGGGTAAACATGATCTGAATTAACTGACTTGCTGATTACTTCAAATTCCTTTATTTTTTTAAGACTGAACAAAAGTAGAGATCTGTTCTAGAAGTTAGAAAAAGCAAAGTGGGGAGAGGTTGTTGGGAGGCCTGTCCAGGACACCAGCAGCTTTTCTTCCAGGTGCAGGAGCTGTTGCCAGGAGGAGGTTCAATCCTAGGTGGGACTCTGCTGGCTACAGGATGGTAACTGCAGAGGAGAGTGCAACACGTGTGTCTTCCTTGTCGTCACGCACAGCTCATTTGTGAGGTGGGCTCAAGGAGGGCTCTGTGTGCCTCTGTTCAGCCTAGCTCCAGCCGGAAGCCTCGGGAGGCAGAGCTGCAGCAGGCTTGCCCAGCTCTCAGGAGAGGGACTGAACTCTGCTATTTTACAGCAAGCTCAGGGACAGCAAGGCTCAAGCTGCCTGAATCATGCCAGACAACCTCACCAAGGGCAGCTCTGATTCCAGTGGGACCACACAAATGCTCGATTCTTCCCTGGTCACCTGCACAGAAACAGTGACTTTCACTGAAGTGGTGGAGGGAGAGGAATGGGGCTCTTTCTACTACTCCCTTAAGGTAAGTCTCCTGCTTTACATGCTTCACCCTCATTTACAAGGATAAAACTCTGATTAACCAGGATTTAAAAGGATGAAAGGTAGAAATAACTCAAGAGACTCAGTGAAAAGCATTCTGCCTAATATTGTGAATGAGTGGAATGCATTGCCTTTACTGAGGTTAAAAGAAAGATACACTAAAGCAGAAAGCTTGAAATAGTATATAATAACCTGTACTGTAGTTTCTTAAAATTACAGGTTTTCTTTTTTCCTCCGCTTCTGAAATGTGTGAATCATGAATAATATTTATGAGTGATTTTTACTTCCCATCTTTACTCAGGGAAAAAAAGCACTTTTAATCAATCCTGTAGCAGTGCTTGAAATTTTGTGTTTGTAACAGCTGTTGTAGTCATGAGTCTTCTGCTAGGAATGTTGGAGGAGTGGAATGTCCACAGCCCCTCAGGACAGCATCCTGTACGAACAGATCTGCGTGAGGAAGGAAGGATCACCTATTTTTGCTGATCCTTTCCATTGCTTACCAGTGAAAAATAATGCAATTTGCGACACCATAGTTTGCAACAAGTTGCTGCCTAAAGACAATCAAGAGTTTGAGGAGTTTCTCCTATAAAGTATCTCAAGTTCAAATTAAGGAAATGACCCTCATTGAGCTAATAGTGTTCCTTAAACCGCAACAAGTCTTTACAAATAGGGATAAATTGGGCATCTGGAAGACAAAGAGTTCCCCAATTTTGCATTGAAATGCTGAGACCTCGAGTTATTTCATGTCCTGTCTCATGGCATGTTCAGTCACTGCATTAATTCACAGGTCTCAAACTCCTCCTTCTATTTCAAAAAGGAAAATAATCCAGGGAAAATTCTGGCTTTGCTTCCCTCCTCTCCCCCATACTCCGGTGTTCTTGAAATGATTCACTTTGGACATGACAAGGTGGCATTAACTAACGCCTCACTATATGAGGTCTGCCTCTTTGTGAACACTCTGAATAAACTTTCAGCAGGGAGCTGTCCCAGGAAGCAGCTCTGAGCTCCTCCAGGACCAAGAGCACTCGCAGATAAGCAGAGTCTAAAGAAACTCCTTGGCTTTAGAACTGAAGTGGGATCTTATGGCTTAGAACAAGCTCCTACAACTCTTGCAAACACAACCTACCTGATGAAATCTGCAACATCAAATAGAAACTAAAATCAGAGCTATTGTTTACTGTTGTTTCTCTCACAGAGTGTCAATGGTCTCAAACCAATGATCATGTGGTTAGCAGTCAAGTGATTACCCACTGTACCACCAGAACTCCTATAATCAATCCATCGTCTGAGAGGAGCCTGCATCCCTGAGATACTATCTTGGAGAACAGGCTTTGTGCATGCAGCAAGATCGCAGGGCACTCTGAGGGCTGCCTCTGCAGTCTCTTTGATATTTATAGAACATGACAGCAAACAGAATGAAGAGAGCCTGGCCACTGCAAAGGGAGTAATAATATGCAATAAGGCAATTGTTCTGAGACTCAGGCAGTAATCACTGGGAACTGGAATCTGATTTGCCACTCCTTGAATACAGCACCAGAGGGGATGTGCTGAACATGTGAGCCAGCAAATAGTTGCTCACTCTGAGTGCTTGTACCCTCTGTCCTAGAAGGAAAATTTACCTTTTCCTAGTGATATTTTCCATAAAACACCTAGTTCCTTGGACAAAAAAAATACAGAAAAAGAGGAATTGTTAATTCTGGAGGGGAGCTCACACTGCTCTGGCTCACACACTCCCTTCACTGAAACACAATGATTTTCAATTATATGATCAATAGGAATGCTTATGGACATCTACCCAGATTTATTACTGTAACTTCTGTTGTGGACCTTCTAGAGTACAAACATTTGGAGAGGGGGCTGGTGTAGATGGAGTGGAGTGTGGAGCATTCTTGACAGAGAATCAAGTTTGATGAAAGTCCCTGTTTTCTTTGAGTGTTTTTACTCCACACACTTCTCAAGAAAGAAACAGAAGTGGGCCTCCTCATTATCTTTGAAACTTGTCCAGTTAATGTCTATTATTTTACTCACACCAGTAATATTAGTATAAACTTTAAACCAGCAGTAAAAATACTAACAATAGCAATACTAACACCAGCCTGAATTATATTTCCATTCATTGGAGGCTTTCTGGTGCAGAAATCCTGCTAAGTAGCTTCTGTCAAGGATCTCAATTAATTCTCACAATTCACAGAGAGTCTCTCCATCATCACCTGTGTTTTTCTGTATTCTAGCCATTCTTTAAGGCTCAGTTTGAGTTGCTTCCTCCAGGAAGCCACACCTGATTCATCCCTCCTGACTGAGTCCCAGTCAATTTACAGGCTGTATTACTCTTCCTGTCCTTTAATCCAACTAGGTTTTAAACTGTTATTTTAAAATGGATGGAAAGTCATTATGCTCCTTGAGTGAAAGAAATGCCTGATGTTTGATTCAGAGTTTATGCCCCATGAACAGCATTCTCAATAAACACTAAGATAAACATAAATGAAGTGTGGTGTCTGTTACTGTCAAGGTTTAAAGTAAATCAGAATGATTAATGGGAAGTTCGCATTGCCTGTGACAGAGATTGTTGTTATGTACCATCGAGCCAGAACTGATTCATAGCTATTCCTCCAGCAGGTTTTCAGAAGCAGTTAATCATACTGGAGGAAATTTTTCCATATGTCTCCGTCAGAATACCTGTGGGATTCGAACCGCGTGCCTTTGGATTGACAGTGGAACTCCCTACCATTAGGCCACCACTGCATTGCTTGGGCTCAATCAGATGAACTGATGGAAATCCTTTTTTGCCAGCATGTTCAGCTTATCTTTATCCCATTTTTTAACCAACTGTAATGAATGTGATATATTCCAGTGGGTATTTTACAAGATTTGTTGTGGAGTCACAGGTCAGCATCTAAGTCCTTTCTTTAGCTCTAAGGAAGCTGTTTGGAAGCAAGCGTGGCATCCACTTCCTAATCAACATGCCTCTGGACACTCTATGAACTTTGATAAATGTCGATAGTTGTTGTAGAGAGGCTTCAGGCCTTTTATTCATAGGGTCACTAAGAGTCGTGCTCAACTCGAAGGCAATCAACGACAACAACAACAAAGAAGCTATAATCACTGTGTTGTTTTAGTTAATTTCAGCTGTCTTATTCAGTCCACACACCTGGATCTTTAATTTGGTTTTCTGCTTAGCCCTCTGATTCTTCTTTGAATATCAAAGACCTTTTGACCAATGAAAAGATCTATCTAAATCTTACCAGCTCTCCTTCATAGAGCTTCAGTGGCACTGGTGGAATAGTAATAAGAAGCTGTGCTGCAATCTCAAAGGAATGGAGCTGATTGATACTCATCAGCTATTGATGGGAGGATGAACAATCTCCTGTGTGATTTGCTGTTGTGTTGTTGTTATGTGCCATCAAATGACCCTATGTGCAACAGCTCTGAAACTTGCCCTGTCCTAAGCCAGTCTCACTAACTCTGACATACCAACTCACATTATCCCAGTTACTGTATCAATTTATCTCATCTGGCGTCTTCCTCTCTTGTGCTGCCCTACCACTCTCATGAACATGATGTCCTTCTCCAAGGACTGGTCTCTCCTGGTCACATGCCCAAAGTATGTGATATGGAGCTTCAAAATCCTAGCCTCAAAGGTAAAACTTGGTTTCACCCTCTCCAAGACAGACCAATTTGTTTTCTTGGAAGTTAACGATATGTTCAAGACTCTTCTCCAGCACCACAATTCAAAGTCATCAATTCTTGTTCTGTCATCTTTAGTCATTGATCATCTCTCTGAGGCATAGCAAATATTTTAGAAGACTATGGCCTGGATCAGGTGCACCTTAGTCTCTAGACTGACATTGTTGAATTTCAATACTCTGGAGAGGTCCCTGACAGCAAATTTTCCCAAAATAATTTGTCTTTTGATTTCCTGACTGCTGGTGCCAAGACTGTTGCTTGTGGGGCCAAGCAAGCTGTAATTGTTAACAACCTCAGTCTCTTCTCCATCTATTATGGTGCTGCCAGTTGGCTCGGTGGTGAGAATCTTTGTCTTCTTGATGATGAGCTTCAATCCATATTGAAGACTACTGTCCTAGGCCTGTGTAATTTACTGCCTCTGAAAACCCACTAGAGGGTCAGTTTCAACACATATACAGTAGGCAACTTCTTCATAACCTAAGAACCTTCTCTTCCTTTTATATTTCTAAATTCTTGTTTTGCTTTCTCATTACTCATTCCAATTTCATAGTCCTAAACGTGGCATTCTTCTTGAATATGATTCCCTAAATTAGGATGAATTTTCCTTTTTCCTCTACCAAGGCTTATGTGTTTCTAATCTTATGTGGTTCTAGGCCCAATGTTCTCAATTCAAATCTTGGTTTCCTTTTCAGTTCTCAGGGTCCTTTCAAGGTCCCAACAGGTTGACTTCTTCGAGTCCTAGCCCTCAACAATAAGGAACTGGGTCGACATCTACAAGTTTTCAAAAGAAATTAAAACCGATTCATCAGCAAATAAATGAAGGATCTAAAAATAAAACCATTTAAATGGAAGATGAAGAGGAATTTCTTCATACAAAACCTCTTCATTTAGCCCCATGAATTCACTAGCAATATTTCTTGAATCTCTTCTTCTTAATGATGAGAAAATAATTTTTAACTAACTGAGCAGAGACTCATCTGAATTAGTAAATTATCTAAATTATAAAATAATGCAAATGAATCTCAATTTTATTTCTGTTAGGTGAGGAGAAAAACATGAACCAAGACTGCTAAATATTAACTAATGAGAATCTTTTATTGAATCTCCTTCTGTGGTTAGCTACAAATGATATGCAATTAGTTTAACTATTGTTTACATGTAAATGATTGAGTCTAACTACTTGAGGATGATTGGACACAGTTTGCTCCTTTTGTTTGCACACCCTTCTTGCCATGCTGTTTTACTGTTAATTTTCTTAACACACTCTTCCTCTGTTAATATAACAAAAGTAAATTTCAG